TTCAATCAAATCACTTATAAGTTTGCTTAAAATAATTGAGTAATATAATAACAAATTTTAAGTTTATATATCAACAAGAGGGCCAAGATGGCCCTATTTTGCTCACCTCATCAATCAAACTCATCAAAGCAAAGACTTAGGCAAGCATCCTGACCATGTTTGATATCAATTGTGTCAAAATTGTGACCACTAGACAGTTAACAAGGTTAATTCTTATTTTGGTTGGTGTGACCTAGTTTTAGACCCCAGGTGACCCATATTCAAACTTGACCTAGAAATCATCAAAAAAATATTGCAGACCAATTTCCAGGATATTTGGATAACAAAAGTAGCCAGTACAGTGTTAACAAGATTTTACTAGAGTGTTAACAAGATTTTTCTATTTTTAGCTCCTGTGACCTAATTATTCATCCAAAATTATCAATGTTCAAACTCATCCAAGTAATTTCCTAGACAAGCATCTTGACAAAGTTTGATGATGATTGAGGCAAAATGTGACCACTAGAGTGTTAACAAGGTTTATCCATATATAGGCGGTGGACCTAGTTTTTGACCCAAGGTGACCCATATTTAAAATTGACCTAGAAATCATCAAAACAAACTTTCAGACCAATTTTCAGGATATTTGGATCAAAACAGTAGCCACTAGAGCTACAAAAAAATTTCTATTTTTAACTCCTGTGACCTAGTTTTTCATTCCAGATGGCCCATGTTCGAACTCATCAAAGCAATTACCTAGACAAGCATCCTGACCATGTTTGATGACAATTGAGTCAAAATGTAACAACTAGAGTGTTTAGAACGTTTTCCATATTTGGGAGGTGTGATCTAGTTTTTGACCCCTGATGGCCCATATTAGAACTTGACCTAGAAGTCATCAGACCAATTTACAGGATAGTTGGATCAAAACAGTAGCCACTCCAGTGTTTACAAGATTTTTCTATTTTTAGCTCCCGTGACCTAGATTTTCATCTGAGGTGACCCATGCTGGAACTCATGCGAGCAATTACCTAGACAAGCATCCTGACAAAGTTTGATGATGATTGAGGCAAAAATGTGACCACTAGAGTGTTAACAAACAAATGTGGACGGACGACGACATTCAACAATCCTAAAAGCACATCCTGAGCAAGCTCATGTGAACTAAAAATGTGTTTTAAATTTGTTGTAATATAATTCTGTTAACTTCTTACTTCATCTTTGGTTGTGTTAGGTGTACACAAGAGTATTTCATCTGACATAGGTAGAGGTTGATCTCTGTCCATCATATATATAGATAGTGTGGTCATCAATACATCTCCTACAATATCAAATCTTTGAATAAATTTCTGGTTGTGATTTAAGTCACAGCAACACTGTAACGGTCAAATGGCAACTTTCAAACTTTACTGGTGGAAGAGGACCTTATTTTTAGTATTCAAAGATGGTTCTACTCAGATGCCTGCTCATGCCTGAAATAATGCACACAGGGGCACCCGAGTAGAACCATCTTTGAATGTTAAAAGCAATAATTTGTTGGTCAATACAGCATTTATTTTCTGCGATTGTGTAGGAAGCTATAAGGTTATAGACACTTACACTTTTGGAATCCATGCCTGGAACCAACCAGTACTGAGCAATGAGTGTAAAGTTTCTTGCTAAAGGATACAATGACTTGCCCATCACGAGGTTTAAACCCATGCCGCTAGTGATCATTAGATTACTAGTCCGACGCATTAACCACTAGGCTATGCCGCCACATAATAATTTGTTCTACCAACACCATTGGTATAAAGGCAGACCAGTCTAAACGTCAATGCTGTCTGAACACACTATATACCTCTGGCTGCATAATTTTAACTTGAAGGTATTAAAACACAAACTCAACATTGAATTGACAATAGAACATTGAAAAGACTAATCTATTAAACAATTTAGCAGTGTAAGGGCTAGATATCATACCGGTATATGTTTCCATCCATAAATGAAATATTTGAACAACAGTCTCATATCACTGTACAATTACATGAATATCATTATTTAAAACATACAAGTAGTGTATAAAACCTTCTGAAGAGTTTGCAAATTCTTGATTCTATATAGATTTAAATGTACAATTTATTAAGACTGTAACAATAATGTTACATGATTTTGAAGCAGTTATTTGTGAGCAAATGTTTAATTTCAAAAAGCTAACAAAATAAATGCCAAAAAAATAATGAAAGGTCTCATAATGCAATCACATTCTTCTGTGAGTTTGGCATTGTTTGTATTGTTATTTATGTTGATATTCAAGTTTAGAATAATCCAGCTTACCTGAGGGACATATAATCAGGTTGGGTTTACCTTCTTTGAAGCCTGGTGGTAGCGATCTGGATACTTCTTTTGTATCTAAAAAAGTAATCATGAAAAGAAAACATAAAAAGAAAACTATGAATTATAAATTTTGGCTTATGAAGAAAGCTTTAGGTAAACTCGTAAGTTTGCTCCCTCTACATACAAAGTTTTTAGGCCAGTTTAATGCTTTGTAATAGCAGGTTCCAGTGGCATTCACCTTCGATCTTTTGACTTAAAATTGGTGTGGCAGGTAGAGATCTCTATACATAAAAGTGGAGCTAAAGATCAAGAACTAAATTAGATAAAATGATTTGTGATCAATGCTGGTAACTGCATGACTATACTTCACTGAAAAAGAGAGCAAAACATATACAATTCAGTAGAAATTGGCAATACTTAAATAATTTCACTCTGTATTTCAGATTACTTTTCAAATACAGTAGAACTTCGGTAAGTCAAAGTTGGAGGGACTTGCATAAAAACTTCGACACATCGGGACTTCGACTCATGAATAGGTCTTAATTTCATGACAAAATTTCAACCAGTGACTAGCCCTTATTATAAAATCTATAACATAGCCTATTTCATGTTTTTCTTTCATTCATTAATCTGATATTTTACATAATAATACAATGATAAATATGACATGTTAAATAATTTTTCACATTTAAAGATTTGGACTCCCTGTTGACGTATACAATGAAGTTACAAAAGGCGTAACAATATGAAAGGGCAATAACTAAACCAGCTTATAGTAAATATTTCGCGTGTGATTATCACGCGACACCGGGTCACGGAAGTACTCAAATGACAGTTTTTAATGTTTACATGTTCTTTCAAATACTGCTATGGCAATTAAAATAGTAATGATTCAAGCATTTTTTCACACATTTAAGTGCATAGAAAGGCTGTTTGAACACTCGGCTGTGTAATTAACACCTGTCACTAAAGTTGATCGGAAATCGTCTTCGCGGCCAGAAAAGGTGTGAAAAATGTCTCGAGATCGAAGGTGTCAAAATAATCAAAGGACTTCGACTTATTTGTGGTAAATTGTACTAGATTTATTCTATATGGACAACGAAAAAACTTCGACACATCGAAAAATTCGACACATAAAATCTCGACTCATAAATAGGTTTTTATAAGGAATATATAAGGGAAAAAATCGGGACTTTCATTTTACTTCGACACATCGAGAAAATTGACTAATCGAAGATCGACTCATAGAAGTTCTACTGTATATTAATAGTTATCATACCTTTTCTAGCAAGATATTTCAGTATAAGACCAAGATGTTCCAGACTTAGATAGTCTCGTATATTGGAAGATATAGAATCCAGAAACTGTTTCCATAATGCAGTAAGATCACTGATCAGAGGCGTCGATCCAACATCACTGTAACATAAACCTTGATTTTTATAAATTTAGTCAAAATCACATGTTTATTTAAAGTTGCTAATGCATGCAAAAACTTAAATTCTCTCAATCACCATCATTATTGTAATGAAACATATTATATAATAAAAATCAATGTTATGTTAATACTTTTTCAAGTTGACTTATCAGAAGGTATTACAAGAGCTGTCACAGGAGACAGCGAAGCTCGACTAATAAAATACTGGACGCAGTAAGGAGGACAAAACTATGAAAGAAAAATCAATTATGTATAATTATGTATTAAATTATAGTAAAAAAATAACATTTGTTAACATTAATTCCAAGATCAAGGGGAATAATTCTAAAATAGTCATGCTAGAGTTATGGACCTTGTCACACAACATTTGTGTAATGATAAGAAATATATATTTGAAGTTTGAAGTAGATACCTTAAAAAGTAAAGAAGTTATTATATTTCTTAAAGAAAATTCTAAGTTCAAAGAGAGATAAATCTGTAAATATTGCTTCAAGAGTTATGAACATTGTCACATAAAATGTAATTGATGATAAGAAATAAGTATTTGAAGTTTGAGGTAGATACCTTTAAAAAGAAAAAAAATATTATAAAAAATAACATTTTTCTAGTAAAAAAATCTAAGTTTATGGGGAGATAATTCTTGGTGCTAGAGTTATGAACCTTGTAACATAAGATGTGGATGATGATAACGTAAATATATTTGAAGTATGAAGTTGATCCCTTTAGAAATAAATAAGTAACAGTAAAAAATAATATTTTTAATGGAAAATTCTAAGTTCAAAGGGAGATAAATCTGAAAATATTGGTGCTATAGTTATGAACCTTGTCACATAAGATGGGGATGATGATAAGGTACATATATTTGAAGTATGAGGTTGATCCCTTAAGAAATTAAGAAGAAACAGTAAGAAATAGTATTTTTTAAGGAAAATTCTAAGTTCAAGGGGAGATAAATCTGAAAATATTGGTGCTAGAGTTATGAACCTTGTCACATAAGATTGGGATGATGATAAGGTACATATATTTGAAGTATGAGGTTGATCCCTTAAGAAATAAAGAAGTAACAGTAAAAAATAGTATTTTTTAAGGAAAATTCTAAGTTCAAGGGGAGATAAATCTGAAAATATTGGTGCTAGAGTTATGAACCTTGTCACATAAGATGTGGTTGATGATAAGGAACATAAATTTGAAGTTTGAAGTTGATACCTTAAGAAATGACAAAGTTATAGTGAAAAATATTTTACTGCACCAAAACTTTAATCTAAAATCTGGACGCGGACTCCGACGCCGGGGCGAGTAGGACAGCTCTCCATATACTTCGTATAGTCGAGCTAAAAATGAGCTATATACTTCTGCTTTCTCAGTCCAGATATGTTTGTTAGAATCATAGTTTGTATGTCAGTCTGTGATTGGCTCCAGCCAGTGAATATAGGTCTCGGTGTAACCTGCTCTCTCATTGGTTGATTATCAATTTGAGGCTGTTCCACATCATCAGACATATTGGAGTCCTCATCATGATCCATACACCATACTATACCTGAAGTTTGGAGATAAATTTAGACAATTATCAGAATGTAATCATTCAAATTTATAAAGTGTTAAAATGACATGTAAAAAAACATAGCATTTATTTAACAAAACAAATCTATACATAATAGTTGAACATTTTGTCAGTCATTCTAAGATCATTTATGTTTTGACCGAAATTTAAGAAAAACTCCATACCACATTTTGTATGTTAATTTATTGCAATTCCTCTGATTGTATTAAATAATATTTTTATAATTTTCCTTTTAAATCTTGATTTGATGAAGATTATTACCGGCAGTAACATCCTCTGGTCCCATAAACTGCAGTGCCCTCAGTGCAAGGGCCTCATCATATCCAGCTACGACAAGTTCCTGTATAAAATTTTGTCTCTTCTCGTCTTCAGTGGCATCAGCTGGCATTTCATCTCCCTCATCGTCATCAGCATTTTCACCTACAGCTTCCATATCTACATCACCATCTATCTCTTCTTTAGCAGCAGCCATTGCCTCTATAAGGTCATCTAGAAATAGTAAAAAGTTGATACATAAATTTTTAACATACCCGTGCCACTTTTAAGATTCCGTAAAAATGGTATTGCATGGCCATGCATATAAAAATTATTCTGACGCAACCTCATTTGGGTTATACAAACAGTGTAGACGTGCTTAATGTAAGCGTATTAACATAGTCACTTCAATGAAATAAAGATTTTTTTTTCACTTTAAACAGCTTTTATTTTGGGTATGTGATAAATACAATTTTATTTTTGTGTAGGTTCAATACTAAATTTATTGAACTCTAATAAAATAATATCATAATTTATTTTATTCAACTTGTTCAGTATTGAACTTACACTCATTCAATATTCTCTATACATTTCATTTTTCTCCAAGTTGGTAACTGATGACTTTGGCAAACAATGTTAGAAATGTTAACAGTAACTTTAAAGAAAACAAGCCTAATTGAATAGATGGATATTGATTGAGCTTTCTTTGATAACTGAGATAGTAAAGATTTCAGTATTAGACAATACCTGGAGTACAATTCTCTTTTACAGCAGACAACAAAGGATACACCAGATGTGACGGCTCTGATTCTATTCCCATTTTAACCAGTTCTCTCTGAAGGATAACAAGTTGGTCTACAGTGTAGTAGTTCAAATGAAGATAAGTCTTTCGTTTCTCCTTAATATGATCCAGCCATTCATCAAGACAACATTCCATAAACTTGGCTAGTTCAGGAATTATATCCTTCAAGTCCTCCCTCTCAGATCGTCTTCCCTATAGTAAAACAATATATTAGTTACCATCACACAAAACTTAAAAAACAATTGTAATGGGAGTCAATGGTTGCTACGGAAAGTCAATGGTTGCTAAAGAGGTTACTGGTTGCTATGGAAAGTCAATGGTTGCTATAGTCTTTGAGGTCACTGGTGGCTATGGAAAGTCAATGGTTGCTATGGAAGTCAATGATAGCTATGGAAAGCCACTGCTTGCTATGGTACAAATCAATGGTGAACAATTTTGCGATTATATGAATACAGCTGTGAAAAGAAGCCTGCAAGCTCAAGCTTCAGATCACTTTAACAACATTTGTATGGGTTTGATTTCTACAACATACTTTGAAATATTTCATACAAAGAAGCTCACCAGCTAAGTTTCTGAAGATATGTTGCACTTATTCAAGTGCCAACTTGTGCCTTAGATAATTAATGGGGAAGCACTAGTAATCTGTTTTCCCGTAGTAAAGCTCTAAAGCCATCATTTGACCTTTGCAATGCAGGTTAATTTAGATAATAAATTTAGCTGCAAAATAAAATGTTTTTGACTGATTTTCACACTGTTAAAGATAACCACTAGACAGTGCACTAAAAATATTAGTTTATAAAGGTTTATTCGATAAGAATTAAACAGGCTCATATTAAATAATTCAGTATTATGTTTAGACTTACCTTCAGCTGAGGTACACTATCACCTTGGCCAAACTCTAGTATGGCACAAACTGGACGATCATGTTTAGGATAACACAGGAATCTAGCTGTCCAGTCTTTAAACAGCACACATCCAGATGAACAAAGTTTCATGTACACATTGCTAAGTCTGGTTATACTGTCAAATATCTGTGAAATGATACAAATTGTATGTGCAATGTTTTAATTTACAAAAGGAAAGGACACGGGCTATCTGTTACATATAGATTTTGAAGTTTCACTATATAAATATAATGATTAATTATATCTTGTTACACAATAGGTAAAACATGCTATACATTGTATCACATTTGCCAAACACTCTGAAGTATTTTTTCCAGCTTTTTAACATTTTACTACTTATGAAAGTAAAATTCAAAGAAAAGAATTTTGCAAATTTGCCTTTTTTCGGTAAATATATATTTTGAATTTCAGCCACCGTATCATTTCTGGGCAGACTGTCAATCAATTTACCAGTACTAGTTGCTTTCACTTTCACAGGGAACTGATTACTTCTGTACATACAAGAGCAGAGGTACAGTGTGAATGATCAATCACAACAAAATTGACCTATTTCACTAACCGGCCGGCTTGAATCAGAAAATGTACATTTCATCTGTGCTTGGCCTCTGAATGGAGTATACTTAAAATCTATTCATAAAGTGCAACAGTTATTCTCAAATATGTCAACAATCCAAAGCTTTACTATATAGCTCAAAACCAATTAAAAAAATTATTCTATTGTTGCTAAGATATTGTTACCATGGTAAATCTGTCCACACTATCTGTACCCATCTCTGCCTTCCCAGCCACCAACATGAGTCTACTCTGTAGATCCTGACATTGGGAGAACGTATAGTTCCTTAACTGACTCTTGCCTTCTTTCTCCGGAACTGTTAGCTTTATAATGTCCATCACAGCCTATGCAATAATAAGCATTGTTCCAATAAACAATTAAAATAATCATATAAGTAACTATATAATGGAAAGTAAGAGAACAAGTTAAACAAGAGGGCCATGATGGCCCTGAGGTCGCTCACCTGTATATAGGCCCCCCCCCCCAACCATCCCCCCCAACCTTGCAGGGCCAATTTAACCCAAGGGCTTTTATTTGCACAAACTTGGTAGACACCCATAAGAAGATGTTTCATGCTAAACATCTAAGCTCTAGCTCATTGGGCTTTTTAAAAGAAGATTTTTTTTAAGTTTTTACTATACACATATAGTTAAAAACAATGACACCCCTGGGGCCGGGCCAGTTTTTGACCCCCAGGGCTTTTATTTGAACAAACTTTGCAGACACTTACTAGAAGATGTTTCATGCTTAATATCTAAAACTCTAGCTATTTGGGTTTTTTCAAAGAAGATTTTAAGTTTTTGCTATACACATATAAAGAAAATCAATGACCCCCGGGAGCGGGGCCAATTTTGACCCCAGGTCTTTTATTTGAACAAACTTTGTAGACACTCACTAAAAGATGTTTCATGCTTAATATCTTAACTGTAGCTATTTGGGTTTTTTCAAAGAAGATTTTTTAAGTTTTTGTTATACACGCATAAGGAAAATCAATGACCCCCGGGGCGGTGCCAATTTTGACCCCAGGGCTTTTATTTGAACAAACTTGGTAGACACCTATTAGAACATGTTTGATGCTAAATATCTTAGCCATAGCTCTTTGAGTTCTTTAAAAGAAGATTTTTTAAGTTTTTACTATATGCATATAGGGAAAATCAATGACCCCCCCCCCCCCCGGGGCGGGGCCAATTTTGACCCCAGGGCTTTTATTTGAACAAACTTGGTAGACACTTATTAGAACATGTTTCATGCTAAATATCTTAGCTCTAACTCTTTTGGTTCTTTAAAAGAAGATTTTTTAAGTTTTTACTATATGTATATAGGGAAAATCAATGGCCCCCTGGGGCTGGGCCAATTTTGACCCCAGGGCTTTTATTTGAACAAACTTGGTAGACACCTATTAGAACATGTTTGATGCTCAATATCTTAGCCATAGCTCTTTGAGTTCTTTAAAAGAAGATTTTTTAAGTTTTTACTATATGCATATAGGAAAATCAATGACCCCCCGGGGCGGGGCCAATTTTGACCCCAAGGCTTTTATTTGAACAAACTTGGTAGACACCCATTAGAACATGTTTCATGCTAAATATCTTAGCTCTAGCTCTTTGGGTTCTTTAAAAAAAGATTTTTTAAGTTTTCACTATATGCATATAGGGAAAATCAATGACCCCTCGGGGCGGGGCCAATTTTGACCCCAGGGCTTTTAATTGAACAAACTTGGTAGACACTCACTAGAAGATGTTTCATGCCAAATATCTAAGCTCTAGCTCTTATGGTTTTTTAAAAGAAGATATTTAAAGTTTTTTCTTTCGGTTGCCATGGCAACCAGAGTTCTGCATGGAATTAAATTCTTTGAACAATTTTTAAAGGTGACCACCAAAGGAACATTCCTGTGAAGTTTGGATGAAATTGGCTTAGTGGTTTATGAGGAGATGTCATTTAAAGTAAAAGTTTACGGACGGACGACGGACGGACGCCGGACGGACGCCGGACGAAAAGCGATCACAAAAGCTCACCCTGTCACTTTGTGACAGGTGAGCTAAAAACAAGGGGGCCATTGGCCCCAATGCGCTCACCTGAGTACTAAATGCAATTGATATACAAAAGTGAAGTTACCTGGTCTTAAATTCAATTTTGACCCTAGGGCTATAATTTGAACAATCTTGGTAGAAGACCTATAGATAGTATTATATACCAATTATCTAAGCTCTAAGCCTTGTACCATAAAACAAGAAGAATTTTTAATTTTTTTAAATATATACATATAAGGAAAATCTTTGACCCCTGGGGCAGGGCCAATTTTGACCCAAGGCCTATAATTTGAACAACTTTGGTAGAGAACCTATAGTTGATATAACGTACCAAATATCTAAGCTCTAAGCCTTGTATCTTCAAACAAGAAGATTTCTAAGTTTGTTTTTTTATATACATATTAGGAAACCTATGACCCCCGGGGCTGGGCCAATTTTGACCCTCAGGGCTATAATTTGAACAACTTTGGTAAAGGACCTATAGATAATATTATATACCAATTATCTAAGCTCTAAGCCTTGAACCATCAAACAAGAAGAATTTTGAATTTTTTAAATATATACATATAATGAAAATCTTTAACCCCTGGGGCGGGGCCTATTTTGACCCCAGGGCTATAATTTGAACAACTTTGGTAGAGGACCTATAGATAATATTATATACCAAATATCAAAGCTCTAAGCCTTGTACCTTCAAACAAGAAGAATTTTTATGTTTTTAGTATGTACATATAAGGAAAACCTATGACCCCCTGGGGCGAGCCAATATTGACCCAATGGATTTAATTTGAACAACTTTGGTAGAGGACCTATAGGTGATATTACGTACCAAATATCTAAGCTCTAAGCATTGTACCTTCAGACAATAAGATTTTTTAAGTTTTTATTATATACATATGAGGAAAACCTATGACCCCCGGGGCGGGGCCAATTTTGACCCCTGGCTTTAATTTAAACAGCTTTGGTAGACGACCTACAGATAATATAATATACAAAATATCTAAGCTCTAAGCCTTGTACTATTATTATACATATAAGGAAAACCTATGACCCCCTGGGGCTGGGCCAATTTTGACCCCAGGGCTACAATTTGAACAACTTTGGTAGAGGACCTAAAGAAAATATTATTTACCAAATATCTAAGCTCTAAGCCTTGTACCTTCAAACAAGAAGAATTTTTTAAGTTTTTACTATAAACAGATAAGGAAAACCTATGACCCCCTGGGGCAGGGCCAATTTTGACCCCAGGGCTATAATTTGAACAACTTTGGTAGAGGACCAAGAGATAATATTATACCAATTATCTAAGCTCTAAGCCTTATACCTTCAAACCAGAAGAATTTTTTAGTTTTTACTATATACATATTAGGAAAACTCAGACCCCCTAGGGTGGGGCAAATATTGACCCAAGGGCTATTATTTGAACAACTTTGGTAGAGGACCTATAGATAATATTATATACCAATTATCTAAGCTCTAAGCCTTGTACCTTCAGACAAGAAATTTTTTTAAGTTATTATTTATATACATATATGGAAAACCTATGACCCCCGGGGCGGGGCCAATTTTGACCCCAGCACTATCATTTGAACAACTTTGGTAGAGGACCTATAGATAATAATATATACCAAATATCTAAGCTCTAAGACTTGTACCTTCAAACAAGAAGAATTTTTAAGTTTTAAATATATACATATAAGGAAAACCTATGACCCATGGGGCGGTCAGATGAGCTAAAAAGTTTGGTACACAGTTTACACAGAAATGTAGGTACAAGTGTATATATCCTCTATATATATATGCAATAAAAATATTTTTCATTCTGATCTCCTTAAGAGGTGAAATGCTAGGTATGATTTAGGATTTGATATCTATTACAGAATTTGAAGTATAAATCTCTGTGTACTTCAATAAGGATATACACATTTTTATGCATGAATATAATAAAAATGTTACCATACCAGTAGAGTTTCATCCATCTTATGAGCATCAGCATCTTTCTTCCATGCATTTTTACCCACTGTAAATATTCCATTAGCATTAATAGCTTCAGCCTGCATGAGGGAGGTAACCTCCACTGAACCGTGAGCTTTCTTGATTTCTTTAAGCCATTGTATCTGTCTATTTGTGTCTCTCTGTATAATTAAGACAAGTAATTTACATTTTATTCAACTTATATATAAAATGATACACTATACTCAACATCACTTATTCCGTGTCATCACTTATTTCACGGCAATGGCATATTTTCATGTCGCCAGTGTTAAAATTGGTCAGAATTGACATATTTTATTCATACCCCTATGCAACACAAAGTTTTTGTGCAAAATATTTTAAATCTCTAGATTTTTTTACTTAAAACAAAACAACATTTTACAAATTTCTACAAAAAGCAATAATAGTCCATTAAATTTGTGCGTATGTCTGAAACAATCATCAATGTTCTTGATTATTGAAGAAATAAATTTTGAGTTACAAGGTAAGGATAATTTTAATATTTAAAATCAAGCAAAATAACATGTAAAAATTTTAAAGGAAACTTGAAGAACTGAAATGTAACACCATTACCGCGATTTAAATGATGACATACTGTTTTCAAAATGGCTGACATATGGTCTAAGTTTGGTCCATTAAAATTGACTGACTGAATATATTGTTTGTTTCCTTGTGCCATACAGCAGAAAATACCTATATGTTAAAGCTTATGACAATTTTTGTACCACAAGTTTCATTTTTTTTTTTTTTTTTTATGGTTTCAAAGCGCTAAGTACCGTGAATTTAAAGGAGAACAGTATATATGTATATGCAAATGAAATATTCGAAAGCAATCTCAAATACCACGATCAAGGGATTGTGTGGCCTAGTGGTTAATGGATTTGCATCTAAACCTGGGTCTTTGGTTTTAGGCATAGAAGGATTCATAACCATGTTTTCTATTTGACACAAGTACTGGATAATTCCAACTCTCAACATTCTGAATTTCTTAAATTAACTTATCCAGTTTCCATTTTTCGAAAACTGTTCATTACAAAATTTAGAGAAAAAAATCAACAAATTATGACATACTAGTTTATCTGGAAGCTTAGGATTTGCCTCAAGTTCTTTCCAAACAACAGCACAAAGATTCAAGAGTTCCTTGTATCCAGAACTCTCATCCAGATCAAATATAAGCGGGGCATATCCTGTCACAGCTGAGTGGAGACACTGAACACGAGCAATGTTGATTGGTTCATCACCAGCTGACATAAATGCCAGGTCAACAAATACCTTCAGCTCTTTTAATCCAGCTATAATTATGAAAAAAAATAATTAAATCACAGAATGTCATAGATACAAAAAATCATTATGTGCAATTTTTAAACACATATACATATATACGAGGGTTGTCATAAAAGTCCCTGACCAATCTTATAGACGGTTGGTTTTTACCGCCAATATATAATAATTCACACATTTAACCCATAATTTATTATTTTACATTACATTCACTCATTTACAAATATGTACTCAAGTTACTTGAAAATTCTAAATATTAATGACATAGGCCTGAGTTCCCGGCGCACATCAAACAATCTGCGTTTGTTATAAATAGGTTTTTAATAAATAACGTGTATTCCAAATATCTGATTGTGTTTGCGCTATAATGTAAACTTCCTCTGCTAATATGATAACGTCATCCCAGGAAATTCAGTTTAATAACTTAAGAAAACAAATGAGAAAAAGACAAATGAAAACATCAAAGTTAAAAATGATGTGGTCCAAAGAACATGCCGCGCTGCGAACAGTTATCCGATTCTATTGAGTACTAAAAGTATGACAATTATTAAGACTTTAAAATTAATACACGTAAATAGAACAGTTTAGCAACATACTCCGACATGACAAATGACATGAATGATAGCAGAATTCTGCATTACAAAATGTAAAAATATGAAAAACAACAAACAGGAAGACCAATCTCCATCGCCTATTTTCCAACAGCTAGAGCAGGTTTAACAAGATCGGAAGTACGATACTAGAGAGAAATTAATGTTCAGTCACCCAAACATTCAACAAAGACTAACAAGCACATGGATTAAGTTTGTTATTGACAATTAACGATAAACCAACAGTTTATCTGTTGAACGCCACAGAGAGTACTTTTTAAAAGGCCCAAAATGCAGGTTTAACATGGTCTTTGACGTTGGACGTACACCACGATTTCACACACAGTTGCCATGGTATTTATGTCATCATTTTGATGTTTGTTGATATTTTTCTGTCTTAATTTGTGAAAATGTTTCAATTGTATGAGTTTATAACATATTAAAATATCTTATTCATATCTCTTCTGTTAAAATTTTAAACACTCTTGTCACTGGGTATTGGGACAACCCACATGAAACATATACATTGTAGTCAAAACATATCTGAAATTTACTTCCTTTGTTCATTTGACAATTTTAACTGTTTTTGTTGACTAAATAAATTGCAATATAAACAATCTTACCTTTCTTCATTGATTCTTTCAACCACTGAACTAAAGGTCTGCACTGAACAAACATGTTCAGGCATTTCTCTCTCTGTGGTGTAAGGTCCTTGAGGAAATCACAGGCATTCATCACACTCTCATCAAAGGATTTCATCTCCAGATCATTTTCACCATGCTGTGTATTACAAAGTTTTTGTTAGTGCAAAATAAACCCTACATTAGTAGCATTGGGAGAAAAGCAGACTTATGTTACTATTATGTAGTGTATCTGATCCAGCTCTGTACTTTTGCCTGCACAATTCTATTATTAAAGTACTGGTCCTAAGTAACTAATAGATTAACTGTATTAGTGTAAATGCTTGACCTGATATCACATTCCTATTCACCTACTTTTTTAATAGGGGTTTTGTCACAAAAACATGTCTCTCCTGTGTGTACAAAGAGGCATATATTCTCGCCAGCAGTTTGACCTGTGAAAGCCAGACAAGATTTTTCCATTTTTACCCCTGCAGCAAAGCTGTGTGCAGCGAGGCAGAATGTTCCTGGGATATTAACGTTGGTACTGATCACATCTGTATATGTTTTGTCAAAATACCCCCTGTGAAAGCCATACCAGAATTTTTTATTTTTTGCTCTGGTGACCATTTACTGCAGGAAAGCTATATGCAAATGATATGCACAACTTGGGTTGGTACTGATCATTCCTGTGAAGTTCAGTCAAAATCTTGTGAACTGTTTGACTTGTGAAAGCCTGACAAACTTAATGTGAACACACAAATGGATAGATGGGTAAGGCAAAACAATATGTCTTTCAAAAATTTTGGGTGGCATATTAAATCATGTAATAAGCACAATTACAACAGTCGGTATTACCTGACCTGCAATGTACAATAAGAATAAGAACTGAAGTTGTACAAAAAAAAACCAAATACTCACATTTGCAATAATTCTAATTTCTTTAAAATCTCCCTTTAGGTTGTAGTCATTTGCAAATTTCAGAATGGTTTTTGCTCCTTTCACACAATCTCCTAGATGTCGGTACTTCTTTAACTGGTCAACCCGCTTATGTATACATTTGACATTTAGTCCAAATGTTTTCAATTCAACTATCATATTGTCATAATCCTTTTGGTATCTGTTGCCAAGAATTTTCTCTATATCTCTGAACTTTATTTCACCACTCTGTAGCTTGTTAGAAACTGTATCCCACCTATCAAAATAATAGCAGTCATTTTCAATAATATGACAAACATAGTTTTCTAAAACCACTCTATGTTTATTTATTTTTCAAATTTGGACTGGGGAGAGGGAGGGGCCTTGATCCTGGTGACCTTTAGCTTTGACCCTGTGACCTCTATGTGCCTCTTGCTGCAAGAATTGATTCCAGGTTGTTCAGGTTCAAGTTTTGTTGCTAACAGACACCAAACAAGAGGGCCATGATGGCCCTGAGGTCGCTCAACTGTATATAGGCCCCAGGAGCGGGGCCAGTATAAACCCCAGGGCTTTTATTTGAGCAAACTTGGAAGACACCCATTAGAAGATGTTTCATGATGTTAAGTTTTTACTACACACATATCATGAAAAACAATGA